TATTTTTCCCTGGATGGAAATCACATTCATGATACCGCTGTAACCGTGGCCAAATTGTTCATGATTGAAACACGTACCAAGAAAAATATTCCTTCTTCAAGCTTTTTCCAGTAAAGACGCTGAATTTAAGAGAAAAACGATACACAGCAAAGGTATGCTTTTCCACATGGTTTCCTCGTTTACAAAAATTCAATTGAACCATAAAATCTGATTAAAAGAATGAAATATTTTATTATGAAGCTTATCGCGAGTCCAGATATGCTATGTTAAAAAAACGAAACAAAGCTTTATAGTTTGCCACGTGCTTTCCTTGTCTAAAAAAGTGCAAGAGAGCCAAGAAATCTGATTTTATGAGGAACTGATGATGACCATATAACTTTTATTCCGAAATAAATATTGTAACATGATCGGGACTGTGAAGCTTATGCGCCATAGAGGCGGAGGCGACATCTGCACACGCCCAGAGAAAATTAAGTGCGCAGTTGCCGACGTGTGTAGGTGACAAGTTCTTCTCTTTTCACAGGCAGCACCGATCCATTATAATTGCCTTCTAAAATATGATACTTTAGTTCCAAAGATGATTACTTTATTTTATTCGCCCACAATAGGGTGATATGTATGAGTTTTTCATCATTAATGAACACTAATTAGAACACAAAAGCCTGCGACGCCACCAGATATGACGAGAATACTCATAATTGCTTGTGAGAATCAGAGTCGAAATAAGTTGCTTCAGGTGACGCGCATTCGCAGTCGACATTCAATCGATAATCTTCGTCACGATGATCAATTTATCGTTCCAAACTTTGCGTTGTTTGCTAATCATCGCGGTTTTTCGATTGGCAAACACTGAAACGTCCACGAGCGGATACATGATGACTGAAGAATCCGAAGTCGAACCGTGGTCAATTCCATATAAAGACGATGATTCGGACTTTTCCACGACTGAAGCCTCAACATCTTCAGTGAGCACTTCTATATTTCGATTTTTTTTTCAAAAATTTGAATCTACTGTATACAAGATCTGATCTTGATCACCAGCCATATATGCGCCGTACAAGTAAAAACAATAACGTTCTCAATAAATTAATTAATGATCCCTGCCATCAACAAATAATGAAAGGAGAGACTAGCAAATAAAATTTTAGAAATTTTTCAGGACAGAAAACTTGCCAACAAAAGAATCTTGCTGATTTGTCTCAAAGCAAAACAAAAAAAATGTGTGAAAACAGTTTTGCACTAGAGAAATGCCTCAGCTTCAAATTCAATTCATTTCGTTGCTTATAGAAAACCAATGAAACATTTTAATAACTGCGCTGGAAATATATATAAAGCAGCAAAAACGGAACTGAATGATACTATAATGTCTTTATTAAAAAAAGGATTAAAATCCACCAAATCGAAAGTCCTGAGAATCAATTTGGCAATAACTCCCCCATTTTAGACAAATTCCAAAAAATCATTCCGTTTACCTTACTAAACTTGTTTGTAAAGTATCATTTCAATTTGGGGAAGAAACCCTCCTCGGGACGAAATAAAAAAAGTTGAATTTTCGCCTCAATTTCTTCCGCAAGCTCTTTATTATCTGGTTTTGGCTACATGAATTCGTATCCTGAACTGTAATTACAATAATACACTTGCTTACAAGGAGAATTCTTGAAGGCTGATTGTTGGAAAATTGTGTCCGATTTTCAACTCTGCTGGTTCCACAGGAACCGATGAAAAAGAGGTGCTTCTCACGCTGTAGGAGCAGAAAAGATTGCCCGTTGGAAGGATGTCACGCATGTTGCGTCACCAAGCGCCTTTTCCCGGGATTGGGAACCGAGGAATTAATGCATTGCAGAAAACCCAGCAGCAGTGCATGCAAGTATCTGCCAATACCTGTGTTCCCTTGGATGGAGGAGGGTTCTTCGACTTCTTCCCCATAGCGGGACGGAGTCAGATTATTTTCGCATCCTCCCGCATTTTTCAGTTTTTGGAAGGTCACCAAAACCCTTCCAGGTGGGCTGAGGCAAAGTTGGGATTAATCCGAAAAAAAGCCCGTAGCCTAACTGAGAATTTTTTTTTTTTTTTTTTTGCAGGCAAAATTTTTCTGTGCTTAGAGAAAAAAGCATCAGGATTTTTCCCGACTTCGCCGTTGACCACCTGTTATCATTTTTTTCCAAACCTCTCTGAGGTGCCACAAAATTTTGCGGAAATAGTCAGACTTTGCCGCACAAGGGATAAGAAACTTCATTTCAAACCCATAGAAAAATAACCATCAGTAATGCATTCACTCAAGTACCAGGTGCACATTTGATTCACAAACATTGAGGAGAAGGAATTGGGTGCAAATCAATTAAACGTTTTTGTCCACACAAAAAAAAAAGGATTTGGGTGCGAGAAATAAAAGTTTTCAGAGCTATTTTTTCTTCCGGAATTACTGTATTCCATGATTTCAAAACCAAGAAGAATATTCTATGAGGCCTTTCGAGTCCAGCAGAAATGCGGTGCGTTTAGCAAAAATACGAAACAAAGCTATATATTTTCCCACAGGCTTTTTTCGTCTACAAAAGTGCAAGTGAGCCATAAAATATGATTTTGTGAGGAACTGATGATGATCATCTCACTTGTATTCCGCAATTAATAGCCTGATCGGGGCTGTGAAATATGTACGCAATAGAGACGGAGGCGACATCTGCGCACGCCCAGAGAAAACGAATTGCGCATCTGCTGATGCGTGTGTGAGTGGCAAGTTTTTCTCTTTTCAGTTCTCACGCACAATAGGCCGGATCGTTCCATTCATTGCCCTCTAAAAGACAATTGTTCCAAAGAGAAATCATTTATTTTTATTCCCCCACAATAGGATATGATATGTAGAAGAATTATTCATGACATTTCCACAACAAGAAGCATAAAAGCATGCGACGATCCCGATGATAGAAGTTCATTTGCTCGTGGAATCACAGCTGTAATAATTTTTTCCAACTATCGCTTATCCGCAAGCAACACTCATTCTAAAATCCTTTATCACGATGATCAATTTATCATTCCGAACTTTGTTTTGTTTGCTGATCATCACATTTTTTCGATTGGCGAGCACTGAAACGTCCATCAGCCAAAACATGACTGAAAGAGTCGAAGTCGAAATGTCGCCATCTCCAAGAGAAAATACAGGAGGAGGCGATCATTTGAACGTTACAACGACTGAAGCCGCACAATTTTTGGTGAGCACTTGTAATTTTATATACAGTATATTTGAATTGCAATCTCATGCCCATGACCAGCAATAAGCGCAGCAGATGTTAAAATGAATTGATGATTTCTGGTATCAACAAATGTAAGGAAAAACTTGAGAATAAAAGTTTAGAAATTATTCAGCCCACAAAAAAATTGGCCTTAAAAAAGATCGTGTCGATCGTTCTTAAAACAAAAGAAAAAATGTGCGAAAACAGTGTTGCACTAAAAGAAACACATCTGGTGTAAACTTAGTTTATTTCATTGGCTAAAGCACGTCAACGAAATATTTTAAAAAGTACTTTGGAAATATACAGCAATTTCCAAAAGAGGATTCTTCTGATCGAAATCGACCGAATCGAAAGTCCGAAGAAATAATTTGTCAATATCCCACCTATCTCTGATAAATTTCAAAAATTATTTCCGCTTACTTAATTAAACTCATTTTTGAAGTGTCTTAATGCACAGTATAATAGAACCTCAATAATGCAAGAGGGTAAAACACGAACCAATTAACTCCTTATAAAAGTCAGGTATATATAAAGTCTTTGCGATTGAGAGCTTTGATATTAACAACTTTCGAAAGAAAAATGGTGCTTTCGTCAAACGAAAACCTTCGTCATAAATTCGTCATCAACTTTAGCATTTAAATTTGGGAAAGAAATTCTAGAAGCGAAAAAATGTCAACATTTTGCCTTTTTATTTTTGCAAATTCTATCAGTTGGTTTGGGTCATCAATTATCTATTCAAAATATTGTATGATTCTGTACTACAATTTTCGCTCAACGAAATGTTGGAAAAACTGAGTCTGATTTTAAATCTGGTTCCACAGAAACTGGTGAAACGGCTGGCACCCAGGAACCCAAGGTGCAACACGGCCTGTCAAAGCAAGGATGACTGCCCCCTCCATCTGGGGTGCAATGCTTGTTGCCTCAGGCGCCGTTACTCGGGAAAGGGAACCATGCCAATCGGGTATTGCAGACGACCCACCAGGTCGTGCATCCATCGGCCGAAACCGTACTGGATGGAATGAACTGTGTTTCAACCCCATAGAAAAATGAGCAACATCAATTCATTTACTCAAGTACCGCATGAGGAGAAATAATTGGGTGCACATCATTTTGAAATTTTTTTCAAAAAGTGAATTTCGGTGCAAAAAGTAAACTTCAGAGCTATTTTTTTCCACCGTTGAAGCCACAATAAAAAGAAGGAACAGATATACAAAGAAATTTGAACCAAATTCACACATTCCACTTGTCTAAATTTAAGTACAGTATTATACCTTTACCGATTGTATAAATACATGGAATGATTGAATCATGGCGAANTTTTTTTCCACCGTTGAAGCCACAATAAAAAGAAGGAACAGATATACAAAGAAATTTGAACCAAATTCACACATTCCACTTGTCTAAATTTAAGTACAGTATTATACCTTTACCGATTGTATAAATACATGGAATGATTGAATCATGGCGAAAATTTTCAATATTCAGGAAACGATTTGTTGCTTCTAAAATATTGAAATGTTTTGCCTGTGAAAACTGGATGCTCATCATACACTCGGATAGATTTTTTCCTGTATTTTCCGACCACAACTAAAATTGTACTTCTTCTATGCCATCTATGGGAGCAAGTGGTACTTGCGTGAATATCCAAAATAAATTTATCCTTTATAACTGCCGTTTAGTCTAAGTTTAAAATTACTTTGAAGGAACAGCACAGACAGTTAACGATGGTGTTCCTTTGTACACTTGAGACAACCTAATAGGCACCTTTTAACGGAGACTCGTGAATACAAAAATATATGACAAAAACAGCGTCTTGAATCATTTATTTTCAACCCGCATCTGATTTTTTTTTTATCATCTGTCGATTGTTGAATACACAGGAGAGAAAAGGTGTTGAAATTTTGTTTAGCTGAAAAAATCCATGCAGTATTCTGCGTGAATTTCGCAAAGCAATTTTTTCTGTTTTTTTTTATTCAAAAAGTTTCTCTAAGATTATGTTTTTGCAACAGACAGTAATTGAAGTCTGGATTAAAGAAAAAAACAATGAAAATATTTTTATTCGGCGACTAATAATCAATTTTTTCCAAGGTCAACTTGCGTTTTTGTTAGAACTGAGTCTATGGGAAATTGTCAGAATTTTCTGGAAAATAATTGGTGACAATGAAAGGGTATTGATAAAATTCATTTGATTATTACTAAAAGTTCTTTCAATTCAACCTTCCCATGGTAAAAAAAAACCAAAAAATTGCGAAATTCGCTCTCCGAGACCACATTTCTGCTGGACTCATAAAAAAGTAAGCTAACACAGTTCAACCCAAGATACGTCGCATAAATATACTACCATTTTCTCAAATTATAAAAGATGTTTCATTTTTCTTTGACAATAGTAATCTTCCTGTCTGTCTTCATGATTTTCTGTTAAGCAAACCCCATCACATAACTCGTGTGCATAGAGGCAAGAAAAATTTCCTGGTGAGGTCAAGAGTTGAGATGACTGGCCATTCTTATTTACTCAAAGCTCGATAATTTTCGTTTCTTTAACTTTGGCCCAATTTCTTCAAATCCTTATTTTTGCAGGTCTCACGCGCTAGAAATATGCGGTAATGTTGGTTGCAAATGAACAGTCCATAAGCTCTCTTGTCTGATGTATGCTAAACTGAAATATCTATACGCAGTTTAAAAGTAATACGAGGATCATCAAGGATAAAACATAGGACGAAAAAATTTGAAAATGTATTGCGGTGAACAGAGGCTCCAGGCCCAGCAAATAATTTGGGCGTAAACCGCTAGGGTTTACGCACTAAAAACGGCCTTATAGACGTCCAGGGTGGACGTCTATCCAGGCGGCCACTGAGACCATAAAAAGTGGGTATTATACCCGCCTGGAAAGACGGGGACAGGATTGCCGCTTCCCCTGACGGTTATCCTGGTGGTTTGGGCGCCCCCCCNAAGAAATGCTTTTGAAAGCGTCAGACTCTGACGCTTTCAAAAGCGTCAACTAAAAACGTTTTTTACGCCATCCTGACCGCGTCAGGAAAACAGATCCCTACTGTTTAGCCAAAACCGTTTGGCCACCACCTGAAACGGCCAGGATACGCGTAAAAATAGCCGCCATCTCAGGCGGCAATCTGAAATTTTTGCTGGGGGGGGAACAAAGAAGTTTCTTTTACAACAATCGTGTGAATTTTGAAACTTTACCGAAGAAGCTTGCAGTTAGAGACGTATGACGACCATCAGGTATATTTTGAGTGGAAAAAAGTCAACTATGTGGAGAATTTAAATGGAATAGAGTATTTAAATGAAATAGAGCATCTCTGTTCTCACGAAGATGTGCAAGAACACGTTTTTGGAGAAATGCCTATTCTTGTTCTCTAGAATTATGTGTGACAAATTAGAGTTTCGCCATTTTAATTCGTGACAAACTACACATCAGACTCTTATCAAAAATGCCAAAGGCCAGCATATTTCTGATTCCTGGTAATTCCTTTTGGCAACACTCAGAAACTTGCGTGAAATAGTTCATGAAGCGAACTTATTCATTCCCTAAAACCTGGACCCAACCAAAAATAACCCCAAAAATAATATATTTTAATAAAAAAGAAACAATTCAGATTTTGACAACACGAACATAAAAAAACAGATTGACATACATGAAGAAATATAAAAAAGGAAATAATAAAGCGTTTATTTTTTTTTTTAATTCTGAGAATCCTGAATCATGCCTAAAAAAAAACGTTTATCACCTGCACATTCAGAACGCCTGACCTCGGTTCAATCTTTTATTGCGTGGTACAGACAAAAATGGAATCAAAAGAGCAAGAAACACTCAACAATAATCCTGAAATAATTGTAGGAAAAAAAATAAAAATAAGTGCATGTGAATTCATGATAATTCAAAAGGTGCCACGTGGGAGCTTTTAACACCCACGTGTGATAATTGCACCCTTCCAAAATAATTTCCCCCCTTGGGTCACACATTCATCGACAGCACTTAGTCAAGAACTTTCAACTCAGAAATAATCACCAGGATGAAAAAATCATCGCTTTTGTGTTGTTTTATGCTGGCAACGTTTGTTCACCTAATTCAGAATTCTGAAGCATTTATAAGCCAAAACAGGACTGATAAATACGAAATTGAAATATTGCCACAGGAAGTGGAAGAAGAAGAAGGCGATGATTGGAATTACACTCCATTTGACGCCTCGTCATTCTTGGTACGTTTCTGGTTGAGCCTAATTTTTTTTTTTTGCACAAACATAAATTGCTCCTTTTAATCAAGTCCGTATCCATTCTCGAAATGGTCTGCGTCATTTCAATTAGATGCCATTGATCATTGAAGATTGGGTTGAATCATCCTGTTGATTTCACGGAAAGTATTTTACGAAGGTATAATTCGCATAATCTTCAAGATTATGTGAATGGAAAAATCGGGACAGAATAATAATAGCTTCAAAGCAAATGAAATAAACAAAGCCCTTCGGAAGAACAGTTTCCATTCGGAAGAAAATAATTTATCCACGGTATTTAAACATAATGTCGTTTTCAAAGATCCCGATTGGAAATTCAATTTTTTTTATACATGAGCATCAAGAATGCTCTATTTCATTTTACTTGAAAAAGGAATACATTATTTCAATACAAGTAAAAGTTCAAGTAGAATATAGGAAATACTTTTAAAAACGTGATAGAAAATAGGTTGACTTTATTCAACTCAACTTTGAAGTATCATAATTATCTAGAGTCATTAAGATATTCGAAAAAGAACATACGCAGCATTACCCTAATTTACAGGGTAGAAGTTCATCTAATTGAGATTTATATTTTTAGGAAAACACCTCTAAAACTTTTTTAATAAATGCATTGGTTTCAGATTTCAATGCAAAAGCTCGGTTCTGAATTATTCGTAGAAACCTTGACCATTTTTTGTAAAAAAAAAAAGAAAAAGAAGGGAAACTTTTAGACGGCATCAAATTCTGCAGTGAATTCTCAAAATCAGGTGGAAATCGCAGTTTCAGAATTCACACTGAAAGTTTCGTTTTAGTTTACAAAAAAATTGGTCGAGGTTTGTACGAATATTTCAAATCTGAGCTTTTGCAGTGAAAACTGAAAATAAACGAGCGAGCATGTGATTTCCACCTGATGCTCGCTCGTTTATTTTCCCTGTAACATGCAATATTTCTGCCGTTTTTTTAAAATTGTTTCTTCTTTTTTGCTTGTTATGAAATATGATTTTACAGACTTTAGTGAAGCGGTCTCCAAACGCCAGAAAATGCGGCTCCAGTTGCATGTCAAACAGGGATTGTCCCATGTTTCGTCGGTGTCGATCGTGTTGCATTCGGCAGAGAAACAAATCCAGGCCGCCACCAAGTGTTGGCATTTGCACTACAATTTTCAGAGGATGCATAAAACCGCCTCGTCGTTGAAGGATTCATTTCCACCGATAAGAATAAATAT